TAGTTCTGTTGACCAAACTGGATTATTTTCTTTAGCTCTGTAGATTTCTTCTAATACAAAAGTCGGTAGTTTGGATTCTATTTCTAATTGAATATGTATGTTGTCTGTATTCTCTCCTTGTTGAGTAAATCGACAGATTAGGCTTTCAAATTCATTAACTAGGGAAGATAAATCACGGCAAAAATATTCGCCTTTTCTAACTGTTGGAAGTTGTTTCAGGGATTGGCATAAGGAACGGGAAATTTCGGTAGGGTTTTCATATTTCTGTTTTAGTAAATCGACTGCCTGAGGGTAAGATTGGTCCACCAGAGGGAAAGATTCGATAACGGCTAACGGAGCCGAACGGAGGCAGGATTTAAGGTAAGAGAGTTTTACTGAGTCAGAAATGTTCGGTAGGTCTCCAACAGCTGCTTGAAAGGATGACCAAAAAGAAGGGAATTCAACACAATTCCCGGAAAATTGCGGTAAGGCCATTCTGGGAAGATGGGCCAAAGAGGTAGATGCAGTGGTAGCGGTAGGAGGAGGGCTATTGGAATTATTGCCGGGTAAAATTGCGGTTAGTTCATTTTTTTGAGCGGTCAAGGATCGGACGTATTTTTTCAGTTTGCCAATAAGAGAAGGGTACGGGCAGGTTTTCGTAAATTCCTCATAAACTTCATTGTCGTGGGTGCGTTCGGGACCAGTCATTTTTACTCTTAGGTCCATCCATTGGTCATGAGTAGTAGACAGGTCGGTTAGGTTATCGGAGGCCTCGGAAAGTGTAACCTCCAATTCTCGGAGGTAGGCACGGATCTGGGAGAAATAAATATGATCCGATTGTCCCTGGTTTCGGAGAGGGACGGGAAAAGTCTTATTGGCTTCCAAAATTTCGAGAATTTCCGGATATAGGTTTTTAATCTGCGTTCTGAGTGGGAGAGACATTTTTCAGGTAGAATAATAGTAAAGAGCAAAATAAATTTCCAAATATATGTAGGAATCAGTCAGACCAATAATAAATATAAATAAACAGGAAAAACAAATAAGGAGTAATAAATTCAAACCAGAGTAAAAATAACGAACAGGTAAAGTTCGGATCTGGGTAAGACTGTAGAGAAATTGCCTAAACTCTCTAATAGTAAACCAAAAACACTTCTTTTTCCAATCAAATTTTTATTTATTTCACAAATATAAATTATATTAAGGCAAAGGTAGGAAAAGCTGCTAATGTAAAGCAAAAGTGAGAATTAATGTTTACGAAGAACATATAAAAGAGTGAAGTCAAGGAAGCAAGAACACAAAACTAATTTTATAGGTTTAAGGCCAAACATTAATGTATGTGTAGGAAAACAAAGAATGTATGGGAAAAATTATATAGATTATGTATTTAGATAAAGGAAACAAAAATAAAAATAAAATAAAATAAAATTTTAATTTAGAGAAATTTCGTTAAGATTTAGAGAAATTTCGTTAAGATTAATTTAGAGAAATTCGTAAGATTAGTTAAGATTATGCGAAGATAGAAATCAGATTAACATTTATTTTTAAATGATTTTTAAACAATTTTTTTCGAGTTTTAGTGATATCCAGATATTTTAACGAATCTAAGGGAATAGCGAGGGATTTGTCCTTCCGAAACTTGGGTGTTCCCAATTGGCCTTCAGAAATTCTCAAAATTTTCACCTACGACGCAAAGAAAGAGGGATATAAGGGACATACATATCTCAAGGGGATTTGGGGATTAAGAGCGATTAAAAGTATCTGGTGAAGATATCGAATCGCCGCAGGCTAAATTTCTGATAATTTTGGAAGATCAAGAAGCTATATTTCTTCCTTTTTTACCGCCGGAGGCGAAAATTTTGAGAATTTGGAATGCTAAGAGACCAGAATTTTTTGTTTTATGGAATAAAATTCCATGAAAAATATCGGGTTTCGGGTTGTGTTTACGAAAATTCGTCGGATTGGGTTTTGTGTCGAAAGAAAGTCCGGGTTTCGGGTTTTAGGTAACCTGTCCCATCCCTGCTCTACTTGTTAGAGAGAATGAGGGATAATTTTTTTAATTTTTTGCTTTTTTTATATTTTTTAGGATTTAAAGCCTTTATAAGGCTGATTTGAGATTTATATTCCTTTAATGGCAATCTTTTTCTGTCTCCATTTTTATAACAAGCTAAACTTTTCTTTTTCGGCGTCATTGTGATTTATTTTAGACTCTAGATAAATGCATGATATTTGCTGAATAATTTAATGTATAATATATTACACTATGGTTGTTGATGACCGGTTTTAAAACCAAAATTTTTGATATTTTTTGCCAAAAATTAGCTGTCTTTATAAAATTTAAAAAACCGAAATTTTTTGAAAATGGCTGATTCTTTTAAAAATTTCCCCAAATAAGAACTAGTATTTTGAAGAGAAAAGGATTTTTCTTCCAAGCTTCGACTACAATTCAATGTGATTTGTAGTTGGCAAAATAATTTAATATTATTTAAAATAACTTAATTTATATTTTAATACTATTTTTCAGTTTTTAATATTTATTAAAAAATCGTTTTAATAATGATTACCAAAGTAGCTAGCAAAGGGTAAAAGTGGCTTGGTTTTATATAAATCAAAGGATACATTTGATTTCCAGCCATGGATACTGCTGCCAACTCAGGCTGTTTACTTCTTTTCCAAGAAGTGATGATATGGACAGAAGGCTACAAACCCATGCCCATACTTCTCCACACTTATACTTGCTACATCTCTAGTGGAAACTGCCAAAACTCCCATCGTTGTTAGCGCAAGAATTCCCAGAACAAAGCTGGTCCGTGTTTTGAATGTTGTGGGAATTTTTTTTTTCTGATGCATCTTTTGGCTCCAGAATTGTTCCTGTTGTTTGTTGTTGCCTTCTTTTTTTTTCTCAATTAAATCAGCTTTGATAAAAGGATTTTATGTTCAAATACTTCAGCTTTTTACTTTGCGGTAGGTTGCATTTTTCCTTCACTTTGATTGTTCTCACAGATTGATGAATTTTCGAACCGTACTCCACGAAAAATTGTTTAATTCGGAGGGTTATAAAAATATAGACACATATTTGAGTAAACATATTTCATTGTTTTAAATTTCACTCACAAAAAACATTTATAATTTAATTCAACATTTATTTTAAAATAAATTTTAAATCTAGAAATGACTCATCTTTACTTTTTTTTACTATTTTTTCATGTTTTTATTTGTAAAGAAAATTATTGTTTTCAATTACTCACGTTTATTTTATTATTTGTTCAATTGTGCCTTAAATGGTACACCTATATTTTTTTAACAAAATATTTCTTATTTTACTTTTACTTTTCTAAATATTAAATTTTTTAGTAAATGTTGAAAATTTTATTACATTATACAATAATCAAACAAATTAAATTCCATTTTAAATTAAAAAAAGTTTTCGTATTCTCACATATCCATGTGGTATTAATTTATTCTCAAAATTCGTATCCTTTCATTTCCGGACACGTATTAGCAGAAAGCATGTTTCTGGAATGATTTACCTATACCTACTTTTGGCAATAATTTAAAAAGTTTTAGGGAAGATTAACTGATTTATAATATGTAAAATTCATATTTAAAAATAATGAATGCCGTCAAGTATTAAAGGATTTTAGGGACTTTATTTGGATTTACATGTATATTAATATCAAATATCAAAAGAGCCTTTACGAACACTCCTATGTATATGTCCAAAATCTCTCTTTTAACGGAAATGGATTAAAAAAATTGAAAAATATCCAATCCAAATATAAATTTCTAGAAATATTTTTAGATATTATTATAATATTTTACATATAAGAGTTTTATCTGTAAATATATTTAGTATATATTGATTACAATAAAAAGTAAAAATCTTTTGAGAACTTTTACTGCGAGAAAAGTTGATCTTTAAATAAATATTATCTTAAAAAGCAAACTTGTTGACTTTAGAAACATACTCTTGAGTTAAATAAAGAATAGTATTCAACAGTTTTTTTTAAATATTTGTTATTTTAATATTTATTTATGTATTACGTAAAAACTAAAATTTGATCTCTTACAATTTTATCAGCTATTTATTTAAATTTAAAAAATTATCAATGTAAACATTTTGTGGAAATAGTGTAGTGTACCGGTTCTAAAAGTTCGGGACATGACATATGTATGTCATTCGATTCCTCTCGATGAGTGAGTCGAAAGGTACCACTCGCTCCTTTAGGAAATGATTCTAGAACGAGTTATAGGTCCCGAAAAAGTAATAATTTATTAAAAAAATATGTATCATTCCACTTAAACCTTCACTCATTTAAAAGGCAAAATTTCAATTAAAATTTAAAAGAAAAATAAAAGTTTTGAAGAAAAAAATAATATCCTCAAGTATTTACTTTTTATAGAGAAACAAGTTTTACCATTTAATAATGTAGAATAATAATGTTCAATGAGTGGATTTATTTTTGGTGAAAGTTTTTATTTCTCTTTTCTATGGCCAAATCCGATTAATACAATTATTTTTTATTTAATAGAAATATTATTTAATTTAAATGTTTTATAATAATAATTTTATTTTTTATTTTATCCCCTTTTTAAATTCATAGAATAACTGTAATATTGAAAAATTTTTTGATTATTAATTAAACTTTTAATTTTGAATTTTTAGAGTACTCTTTTAGTAATTAATAGCCAGAGCCCGGAATTTTGTATGGTACCGTACCATCAATACGGAAAATTTCGTATCGTGTCCGTACCCAAAAATGCCGTTGGTAGTACCATCCGGGCTCTATTAATAACTTTCATAATAGTTGCCAAAATGGACCGACTCGGACCGAAAGATCGAGTGGGACCTAACATATTTGGCCCAAAGTGACTCGTACCTGCCCGACTCGAAAACGGCAACCCTACACCATAACTTCACTAAAAATTCTATTCTGCTAATTTGTCAGAATAAATTTGATTAAAATAATAATTTATCAGCCCTTTAAAATTAAATATTTTAATTTAACAGAATTTACATAAAAATGTTGTTAAAATATTTTTTAAATATTTATAAAAATTTTATAAAATTTATTTTAATTATATTTTTATTAATTAATTTATTTGCTCAAGAAGTAAATTTTATTAATTTCAATAATTCAATTTTTAAAAATAATTTTAGGTAATATCTGATAGACTTGGACATATAACGTGTTATAAAAATAATGGTTTTGATTTGGGAATTGAAGAAGTTTTTAAGTAAAAATATACCTAAATAATTTATTTTTTAAAAGGTAAGATGCTCTCCTTCATTCCCTTCTAGCCCCACTTATTGTCTAAAAGCTAATGTTTATGATGGCCGAGTTGTCCGTGATTGTGCCACTTCAGCTCAGTGTCCTCAGGTGAATTATTGGAAATTACTAAAGTAATTATTATTTCTTTAGGGAAATGCATGTTCTCCAATAAATTATGAAGAAGACGGTACTACTGGTAAATTAAATTGTTATTTGGGTTAAATAAAGTAAAGCCGCGAGCATTTGCGCTACCACAATTACTGCTACTTTTGTGCCCCCAATTATTCTAAAAAATATAAGGATAACCAAAGTCGAATCCCACTATAATGAGAAATATATTGTAAGATCTTTTGAGACCTCAAGGGGTACACCGGTACATCTTTTCAAAAGAGGTACATCTATTCATACTCATGGAGTTATGAGATATAACTATGGTTATTCGTATACTTTTTAACGATTATGGCCGATCAAAAAGTCAACCGGTGCATGTCTGACACCGCTATTTGTATCTGTAATTTATATGTGAATACATGGATATTACTGAAACAAAATAATTCTTAAAAAATATATGAAATTTTTAATTTTTTCTTTCAGATTTTGTTTGTTGTTGTCAAGATGACTTATGTAATTCATCGATGAATAATTTAAAAAACAATCATTTGCTATTATTTTGTATTCTAACGTTCTTAATATTTGTGATAACTTGCCAAATTATTTTTTAAATTAAAAAAATATTTTTAATAACATTAATAAAATTGATTTTCCATTAAACATTTTAGACTTTTAATTTCTTGACTCTGATCCGTTCTAAAGTTTGACCCCGAACCCGTTCCCGAACGATTTTTTCACGATTCTCCCCGGCCCGAAGCCCGCCCCGAAACAATTGGAAAACCCCACACCCCGACATACCCGCCTTTGAGCGTTCGGGGTCAAACTCTAATTCGTTCAAGGATTATTATCTGGCTAACTTAGACCTCAACATCCCCAATAACCAATAGAATTTCCAAAAATAACGAATTCCCGAAGTTTTCTGTGCAAAATTTTATTTTTTTTTTGTTGGCTAGATTTCTGATAAATATGTAACTTTTTTGAATCATAAATTTAAAGAAAGGGTAATTATCAAAAATTAGCTCTTATTTTATTAATTAAATTTCTTTTTTTTTGACAAATAATGAGATCAATTTTTAATTCATTTAAACCAAATTTTATGTTAAACTTTCTTAATTGAATTCGTATTTGTTGAAGATATAGAAAAGTATTTATGTGTCAAAGCAACATCTGCATTAATTCTTTGCTGTGGATTGCAAACAAGAAGACGCTTAAAAAGATTAATTTTTTTCTCAGAAATATTTAAAAAAAAACCTTTAATAAATCCCTAGCTAAATCATTCGGAATAGACATAGCTTTTTCCCAACAATTTGTAGCTCTATGATATGGTGGATAGGGCTTATATTCAGGTAAATGTGTCATCGTTGGCCATTCTATCTAGAAAATATTTTTTGTTAAAAATAAATTTCTTATCTAATTATGTATTAAGGGATATCAAAAGATTTGTAAGGTTTAAGTCGATATCGTGTTCACTCCTAAATCCTTCATATCCTTAGATATAGTAAAGCAGCTGGGCTATAACTATTTCTCTCCTTTAGCATGTGCAAAAGGTTAATTGGCAGCTGGGAGCGAAAAGCATCTTCATTAGACCTGACTGTTGTGTTAGCCACTAAACAGCCGCTTACTGCACAGCCTTAGGAATTAAATAGCTATATGCTTTACAATATCTCGAGATAATCCTTTTAATCCTTCAATATCCCTTTTAATGCAGTTGTCTTAAAATACAAAAGTAAAAAGTGATTAGATTGCAATAAAGATCTAAAAAATGAAAACCATTTGAACTAAATTTTTAGATAGTTTAGATTCGTGTTAAAGGTTATCTTGATATTAGATACATGGTCGATCATACAGGATCGTATCCCACTTAGTTCATCGGGTATCCCGTAGAGGTAGAATCGAGGCTAGATATCCAAGTAAACACCTCGATAATCGAGATTTTTGAGAATACCGAAAATTAAAAATAATTTATTTGAACCTTTATTTTAAATTTTTTAATTAAAATTACTTCATTAGGTGTACCCAATAATTTAAATATTCTCTTCAATTGATCATCAACATCGGCACCAGGGAAAAGCGGTTTACCACAATTGGCAATTTCTTTATTATTTTTTAAATATTAAATTTATTTAATTTTAAAAAACCAGCAAAAATACATCCAGCAGACCAAATGTCTATGGAAGTATTGTAAAGTTTTGCTCCAAAAAGAACGTCTGGAGGTCTATACCTTTAAATTCATCCATAAAATATTTTAATTAAAATTCAAATAATTACCAAAGTGTTACAACTTCAGCACTATAGCAGCGAACCTTCAAAAGAATTTAAAAAAATTAAAAAATGTTTTTAGTACTTAACATTTTATATTTTCTTAATTTAAATTTTTTCTATTTAAAAAATTTACAGGAATTCCAAAAGGCCTTGCTAATCCAAAATCTGCCAATTTTAATTGGGGAGGGGAGTCTTTAATGTTGTTGCTAATTAACAAATTCTGAATAAAAATAAATTAATTTTATGGTTGTAGTTTAAAAGTAACTTATATTATTTTATTAAGTAATTTTTGTTAATATGTATTAGTGGTCTTACTTGTAAAAAATGTTTAATTATCGAGTAATCACTCGTTAAAAATTAACTGTTTCTATGGTTTCCATTAAAGATCAATCTCTCTGTGGGTTCTAAAGAATATCCACCAATAGATATCTTTTGAGATATAAAAATGATTCATTTATATAAAGATTTCCCTTCAGTTTATTAATTTAGTAGTTAGAAACTTTATTTAATTCGGGTCTTAATTAAATACCGTATATACTCTATTAATTACCCTCTCTCAAATAACTACCCCGCCTTTCTCCAGTTAGAGGTTGAAGCAATAATTCCCCCTTAAAATTAGTTATTAATAGCTTGTATAAAATAAACTCTAATAATTACCCCGCTTCTATTAATTACCCCCTCAGACGAGAGATTGAAATAATAATTACCCAGAATAATTAATAGAATATATAAGGTAATTTTAAATGTTTCAATTTAATAATTTTCAAATTCTATAAATTACTTGTGGCTTTAAATCCCTGTGTAAAACATTATGTGCATGGCAATAACTTAATCCAGCCAAAAGTTGTTGCATTAATGATTGAATAATCTTTTAAATTATTTTTTTAAATTTTTATTTAGAATAAACCTTCTCTTCAATATGTCCATTTAATGTATCAAAAAATTTTCTCAAATCTAGATCACTTAAATTAGTAAAAGGAATTTAATAAGAATAGTTATTTTGTTAATTTTAGCTTTGGAAAAGTCCCGATACTGTCTCTTAAAAAACAATTTCAGTTAAAAAAATATTTGTCAAAAATGTGTTTAAGATATTACTAGGCACTTATGTTAGCGATCCGAATCCGAAAAAGGCCGTTTACCTATCCGAAAATTTTCGGTTTGGAAATCAGATCCGGATATCCGAAAATTTCCAACTATCCGCCAATCTTACTTGGCAATTACTATTTTTAAGTTTTATTATGGCATTCTTTTTTACTATAACAGCTACTTTGTTTTTAATTGTTTTACGTAAATATAATTAAATTACTAAGTTCTGGATATACTCGCTAAATATGTTTCTTATTTTTTAAAAATAATTTTAAAAAATTGCCAACCAAAATTCAAAAACTAAATTCAACGTTTTGTCGGTATGTATAACATCATTTAATCTGACAACATTTCCATGTCTTAGTTCACGTAAAAGACAAATCTCACGTAATGCAGATGAAGGAACACCCTTAAATTTATATTGAAATTTGTTCATCAAAAATATAAAATTTCTGTGCGATCAGAATTAGCTCCGTATTTTTTCTAGGTTAAATAAATACATAAAATAGTTTCAACTTCTTTTGTGTCTTATGCTATTTTGAAGCCCAGGATCTGCTCTCTAATCTCACATATAGTCTTTTCAGTTTTATGTCTTATACTCGTTTCAGAACCTCTAGAATACCCCTAACTCGGAAAACATTTTTTGAACTTTAGCGGAAACTTCTATAATATAAACAGATATAAACCAGTCCAAGTGAAGTTTTTCATATATGTTCGTCATGGGTTTGTCCATCAAATTATTAAATTTGAGATTTTTTGGTTAGGTATTTCAAAAGTTATGGTCGAAAAAGTCGAATCAGGCATATTTTACAAATTTCAAATTATCTTGAAAAATTTTTGATTTGATATGACTTGTAATATACCATTCGAAAGCCCTTTCTGAGTTACACAAGATAGTATTAACAAAATTTTATAAAATTTTTAAATTAAGCATTAAATTTACAAAAAACCCTAATGTCAAATAAAGCAAAAAAACGAGTAGAGATACCACAAAAACTCAAAATTTTGAACTTTGCGTAAAGTTATCCAATTTGGATAATTCGAACGGTATTAAAAAGCCCTCGCTGTTCTATGTGAGAAACTAACTGAAAAATACTTTTTTGGCGAGATATTTCGATATATGTATGTATTTGCTAAAAATCAGTAATTTGACTACCCTGAATTTTTCGACCATAACTCTTACTATGCTTAACAAAAATTTTAAAATTTTAGAGGCTGTTAGAGGAAAGTCTAATTAATACATACATATATGTACAAATAGCATAAGACACAAAAAAAGTTGAAACTATTTTATGTGTTTATCTAATCTAGAAAAAATACGCGGCTAATTATTTATATTGCTCGTTGTCCCTTGAAAATTTAATTTTTTACATTTTGCAAAAAATAAAAAAATGTTTACAAATTGTTTTGCGCTTATATCAATTTTGGGACGCATAATACTCTGATGGGACGTATATAGTACTATTTTTGGGACGCATGTATTTTCATGGGACGCAAGTCCTAAGATAGAGCCCTAATTTCTTATTATCTTTACCTTAAATTATTTTTAGATTTTAGAAGATGAGAAGGGAGACTATACAACATTATCAAAAATGAATGTATTTTTAAAATAACCTCAAGGGTTCTATTTACAACCAGAATTCAAGTGGACAGTTTAATGTTATAATTACCTATTTATATTTTTATTAAATTAATTACCGCCAATAATTTTCAAAATAATTTTTAAACAAAAAACCTCATCTTCATCATCCAATTTAACAATTTTTAGAGCAACAATTTGCCCATTTTCTTTACTTTTTGCTTTAAAAACCTTTAAATTAATAAATTATTTTTTGATTCCAAAATTCGAAAAGAAAACCGTTCCATAAGTTCCTTCTCCAATTTTACCCAACATTTCATAATTATTTGACATTTCTTCACTAAATGTTTCCATTATTTTTAAATTTTAAATTTATTTACTTAAAAATAAATTTTAAATTATTTATAAAAAAATTTTAAGTAGACATTTTTGTTAATATTAAGCAAAAATCAATAAAATATTTAAAAAAAATTTTTTATTATTTAAAAAATGGCAGATTTTATTTTTTATCGATTCAGCTTTTGGAAGAAATGTTGTCTTTTTTATTTATTTTTTTTACTAGAGTAAGAAATTCTCCTACTACTATACTAATTTTAAGTATAAAGAGAGACAAGAGAAACACAACATTATTTATTTTTATATTGGTACTGGAATAATTTATAATACCTATACTTGGACCCCCTTGTAAATTAAGGTTGCCGAAAAAAGACCGGATATCGGATATCCGAGGATTTCCAACTATCCGACAACCCTATTGTTAATACACCATCGGGACGGAAGAAAATTTATTTACAAACAAGGTGTATTAGGTACTGAGTTTATGTTAAAACGAGGTATTTAATCAAAAGAATTTCTGGTTATTTAATATAGGTTTATAGTTAAAGACTGTAACGGAGTTGGGCAAGCCTTGATGAGATAAGTTCAAAATATTTCTACATTAGCTTGGGCACTTTAGGACACGTTTTTACTGGATATTTTTGCAGTTTCAGTACTTCTGTGCATATAGAGGGTTCTTCCCCGACGGGGAAGGCCACGGGGAAAATTTTTCGGGAGGCAGACGGAACAAAAATTTTTACGGGGAGATTTAAGGAATCTCCCAAATTTTCCGACTTTCGGAGACGTGGTACAACCCTAGCATATAGTATCATGCCGTTAACCTGTATTAAATGCCATCCCTCAAATAATTACCCAACTTCTATTTATTACCCCCACCAATGATAGGCTTAAACAATAATTACTTCCATTAAATGCCCTACCACATGCATATTCAAATCTCGAATAACTCCCTTCCCTCTATTAATGACTCCTTTTAACTATATGTTTTTTTCTAAATTACACAATAAGTTTAATTGTTTTTAAATTAAATTGAACAAATTAGTCTGAAAAAAACATTTTTTTTTAATTTTTAAAAATTTTTAATTGATTATTTGCCCAATCATTTACCAATAATCATATGTTTGACAGCTCTTAAAAATAAAAAATTATGGCTATTGCTTAAAATAAATAAATTCATTCATTTCCCTTCATTCATTACCGTAATCACATAATTCTCCCCCTTAATTTATTTCTAAGAAAAAATAAATTTTAAAAGATTTTATTTTTAAATAAAAATTAAATTTACAAATTAAAAAATAAAAACTCTTCTTTTCTGGACCGGTCAGAGCTGGCCTCACTTTCTTGATTAATCCCGTCTGGAAATAGGAAATCGCAAGAACCCCGGGTTGGAGCGTCAGGTCCCAAGACCTGTAAAAACCTTGCGACAAAGAAAAATTTATTTTTCTGATAAAAAGATTGTTTTTATAAATAAACATTTTATTTATAGGATGTAATGATTTAAATTTAAAAAAAATTTAAATTAAAACATAAAACAGTGAAAAAAACATTTTTATATTTCAAAATTTTTAATTGATTAATTACACAATCATTTACTCACATGCCAATAATCATGTGTATGTATTTCTGACGGCTTTGACAGCTTGCCCTTCATTCACTCCCCTCATTCCTTAATTTATTGCCCTTATTTTACCTTTAAGTAAAATTAAATTAAAAAAAAATTTATTTTTAAATAAAAATTAATTTATAAATTATAAAATAAAAAATAAAGCAAATGTTTTTTTCCTGAATGTTGAGGGGGACTTTGGATACTATAATAGATAATTTATATCTCAGAAAAGCTTTTCGTAGTTTTTTCTTCTTTCCTGGACCGGAAAGAAGATTAATCCTGTCCGGAAATAGGAAATCGCAAAAACCTCGGATTGGAGTGTCAGGTCCCAAACCCTGTAAAGTCCCAAACCCTGTAAAAATCCTGCGACAAAGAAAACTTGAAACTCAAAGAAAAATTTATTTTTCTGACAGAAAAGAGTTTTTTTATGAATAAACATTTTTTAATCGAAAATGATTTGAAATGAAAATTGTTGTGTCCATACTTGCAGAAAGAATATAAATAAAAAATAACCCGCATTGCGTTAGATGGTGGCACAGTCGGTTGTGCTTCGGTTTTGGGCCCTTTCCGCTATGGTTCAATTCCGTCTCCCGTCATATGAATTTTTCCACGCCATGCATGAACATCGTATATAATAAAAATAAAAATTAAACCTTTATACTATGTTCAGGGTTGCGTTGTAATTGAAAATTTTTTTTTGGAATCGTAATTCGTAACTCAAAAAACGCCGTAATTCGTAATTCGTAATTACGACGCAATCCTGATATGTATGTATTTTCAGATTATTTTAAATATTTTCAACAAAAAGGTTAAAAAAACAAGCAAAAAATGAAAGTAGCTGTTTTATTAGTATTTTTGCTTTTCTTAATTTTTACTTGTTTTGTTTCTTCACCCCGTCCAAATACAAACAACTACGAACAATTAGAACAAGAAAAATCTTCGAAAAAACCTGATACCCAAACAGAAGATACCGCTTATGGTATGACAAGTAAATCTCCACAAAAGATTAAAGCGGGGCGAGAAAAACAATTTGATAAAATAGTAAAAAAGAAACAAGGAAATGGAAAAGGGAAATCAACTTCTACATAAGTGATCGACTTTTTAATTCTGTTGATTTAAAAGGTTGCTTAAAAAGTTGGGTTGTTTATTAATATTTGGTTAAAATTTTAATTTTAAATAACCGAAACCGAAAATACATAGGTGTTTTGGGCATATAAACCAGCAATATGTGTATCTGAACACAATCTTTTGGATTCCGTTTTTACATATTTTTAAAATTTTAGTTTCCGGCATCCATTTAAAAGTGATTATAACAATAAATGATTTGAAATAATTTTTTAAATAAATAATTTTTAATTTGAAATAATTATAAAATTCATTTCATTCATATACATATTTATTAAAAATTCTTAAGGAAAATAAAAAAAACAATAAATACCATTTAATAAAATTTGAACAAAAAAAATAATTTAATTTAAAATATTATTATGAATTATATACATAAATAATTTCTACAAAAATTTTTTTTTATTTAACAGGAGGAAATCTGAAACTGAATTTTTTATAGCTAGATGAACATATTCACCAAATTGTGTGACTTATACATATAAACAACATATATAAACGTTATAGACATTCTTTTAGAATTTATTTTATATTTTTTAAATTTTGATGTTTCATTCAAAAATATTCAATTCCTGTTGGAATTCATTTAAGCATATTTCTTTAGTTTTGTTATTCGTAAATTTTATTTTAAATGTTAGATAAATTTAAATTAGTATTTGATTTATAAGTTAAACAACATTCTTCCATAAATTGTCATAAGAGATTTGAAATTCTCAACCAAACTTATTTTGTGTCAAAAAATAACAAGCTAGCTATATTTTATTTTAATTTAAAAATTTGACAAAATGTTCTGTCTCGGGAGAAAAAGCTTTAATAAAGTAGAGTAGCTGAATCCATTGCAAAGATTAGTAGGATTGATTTAGGAAATTCTTCAAAATAATATTGTTATCCCCACAACATCCCACCATGACTGGCAGTTTCCATTTTTGCTATGCTAGCCTTGCAAGCACATTTTAAATTTTTGTATCATTTTTGCCTAAATGGTACTTTATAAAATTATTCAGTTATTTTAAAGGATTTTTTAAATAAAACCCAATTAATGAAAAATAAATTTTAATATTATTCCTACAACAATTTTAATTAAATAATTTAATCGTTAACTAATTTATATAATTATTTTTTAATTAGGCCAGGAAAGCTTCTAAGTGATATCTCCAATACTGGATCGAAAGGATATAACAAAGTTAAATGTTTAACTTTAATGTTTATTAACTTGATTTTATTTTAAATAATTTATTTTTATTTATTTAAATTATTTGTCAATATCACCTGTCTATGAAATGCACGTGATGTTTATTATTGTATATCAGATGATCGAAATGCGTGATTGCCTTCCTTTTTGCTTTTTTCATTAAATAAAAACAACTACTGTATTTTTCCTAATAGTGCGACTGTCTATATTAGACCGACCCCTTTTAATAAACCGACCCCCTAAAGGAAGGTTGAAAAATAAACCGACCGATCGCATTATTAGGAAAAATACTGTATTTAAATTTAAATATAATTTAAAAAATATTTAAATAAATTACAGTAAGGTTTTGATTTTAAATATCCAAGGTTTAAATACCACCTTGCTTACATATACATTTTTTATATTTGATTGGAGGAGACAGCTACCTAAGCGATAGCAATTTTAAAAACCATCACTTTTTCTCTAAATATGATTTATCCCTAATTTAGAGTTCAGCGGTATCGGATTTTGGAATGGTGATACAGATCCCGGATCCCGATACGAGATCGGGATTGGCCGAAATCGGGATTCAAAAACCCGGGATCCCGATCCCTCTGAACTCTACTCTAATTTATAATATAAATGATTATTTATTTTTTTGCCCATAAATTCGTTATTCAATACACTGCCGGAATTTCCGTTTACATATAAGCAAAATTCATTAATAAAAAGCAATAGGGGCGTAAACTAGAGATAGGTTCCTTCTGCTTCCGCTTCCGCAGAATTTCGCTTTTTTGACCCTTCCAGTTCTTATCTGCTCTTTAATAATGGCCGTTTGTGTTATGCTATGGATTACTCTGGGAACTTCCCTTGACATAGCGCAATGTTTAGAGCAACATTATTCTTCACGTGACTTCAGGATGATACCGGTCTTACAATAAGAATATGAGCAAAGATAAGAGAATTTGTTGGCATATAACGGATACCGTATATGCTCGAATAATTACCCTCTCTCAAATAATTGCCCCCTCTCAATTAATTACCCCATGTAGCGAGAGGTTGAAACAATAATTACCCCTCCTAAAAACAGTTATAATTAGCCTGTTAAAAAAAAGC